TCAATTTCGGACAACATGGGCGCCCCTGTCGAAGCCGTTGGCGTCTCAGCCAGACGGGCCGAATTGGCCGGAAACAAAGTTGGATGGCGTGGTTTTTTTTTTTTTTTTTTTTTTTTGAACTCTGTCCCAACGTTGCCTCAGGTTCATACCGCCAGGCCACCGCCCCCAACTTTTTTTTTTTTTGGCTCGCCTCTGCCTTGCCCACTACTTTTTCCCCTCTCCTTTTCTTTCTCTCCTCCTTTCCCTCTTCTCTCTCTTCTCTCTATATCCTTCTCTCTAATCACTAAAAGTGCTATTTTACCCCCCTTCTCAGCTTCGTGCTGTGGGTTGTTGGTTCTCTCCGTCTCGGGGGGAATCTCGGTTCCTCTTTGTTCTCCGTGTCCCACGACAAAAAAATAAAATATACAACCACAATTTACCGCCGTTTTTGATCACCGCACATGACTCCGCAATCTACTGCTACTTCTCCTGTTGCGTCCGCTGTCTCCTCCGCCACAAATTCTCAGATTTTTAGCGACCCGCGAGATGGAGATGCTGCTCAGGTAACCCGTGCCCTTGCGGGCATGAATCTGTCCGCCATGAATGGGGATTCACTTCCTGCGCCTCCGCCACACGGCGCCACGAGACCGGCCAGGCCTACCATGGCAAATCGCATCTCTCGCATGTTTTCTTCCACCAAGACCACCACTTCCAAGGACCAGCCCTCGGATTCAAATCGTGACTTTTCCGATAGCAGTTCGGATGGCGCCAAGGCTCCTTCGGCCAATGGCAGTCAGAAGCCAGGCAGCAAGCCCTCGTCTAAACCTCCGTCCCGCGCACCTTCTCGCCAGACCTCCACTAAAGGTGACGATAGAGATAAAGAGAAGAAACCCAAGTTGAGCAGTGGCAAAGAGCAGAAAGATAGCGCCGCCATCATTAGCAAGCGGTTTGAGTTGCAGACCGACGGGAATCACGTGCATCATCTCAGAAGTGCCCGTCGACAGGAGAAATTGACCGATCTCCTCCGTGATATGCTTGGTGGGAGCCGGAAGAAGGATGACCACGCTGATGATCAGCAGCAGCTGTCCCTCATGTCCACCTGGATCGATCAGTTCAAGAACGAACGCGATAAGTTGGCCGCAGACAAGAAGGGTGGCCCCAACGCCACCGCGTCGTTGGTTGACAAGTACGGCAAGTGCCAGGAGATTGTGGGTCGTGGTGCCTTTGGTATCGTCCGCATCTCTCACAAGGTGGACCCAAAGGACCACAAAATGGAACAGCTCTATGCCGTTAAAGAATTCCGCCGTCGGCCCCAAGAAACCGCCAAGAAGTACCAGAAGCGGTTGACCTCGGAGTTCTGCATTTCCTCGTCGCTGCGCCACCCCAACGTCATCCACACACTCGATCTATTACAAGATGCCAAGGGCGATTACTGTGAAGTCATGGAATACTGTGCAGGCGGAGACCTGTACACTCTGGTTCTGGCAGCCGGCAGACTCGAAGTGGCCGAAGCCGATTGTCTATTCAAGCAACTGATGCGTGGTGTTGAATACATGCACGAGATGGGTGTCGCTCACCGCGATCTGAAACCCGAGAATCTCCTATTGACCACTCATGGTGCACTCAAGATCACCGATTTTGGTAACGGTGAGTGCTTCCGTATGGCCTGGGAGGAGGAAGCCCACATGACGGCCGGTCTGTGTGGATCCGCTCCGTACATCGCCCCCGAAGAGTACATCGAGAAGGAATTCGACCCCAGAGCGGTCGATATCTGGGCAACTGGTGTCATCTACATGGCCATGCGTACGGGACGACACTTGTGGCGGGTTGCCCGTAAAGATGAAGATGAATTCTACCAACGTTATCTGGAGGGCCGCAAACACGAAGATGGCTACGCTCCAATTGAAACTCTTCATAGGGTAAGACCTGGCAACACTACGTCTCGTGATGAAAAGTCCACCAAACTTACTCGATCCCAGGCTCGTTGCCGCAATGTGATCTACTCTATCCTGGACCCAAATTCCACTCGTCGTATCAATGCCTCGCAGGTCCTGAAATCTGAATGGCTTCGTGAGATCAAGCTGTGCAAGGCAGGCGAGGAAGGGTTTTGATTTTCAAAAAAAAAATTTTTTTAATTTACTTTTTTTTTTGTCATATTTTGGGACAGGTGTTTATGATGGGCAGGCGTTTTTTCTCTCAGCACGCATTTTATTCTTGATGATCCATCTCGTGTGTCTCTGCCCCACTGTATCATGGTTTTTATCCGGGGTGGTTTTTCTGTTATATTCCCCGACTTCCTTTGTCCAAAGAGGGATACAGCCCTTCTTCATTTAGACCATAGAAGGAGGTCTTTTGATTCTTCTCATTTTTGTTCCATCTTCCCCTTTTTTATTTTCTTACCGAGGCACACGGGTTGTTTCTGCGTTTTAGCTAAGGGGCTTAGTTTGATTGTCATGTTTCATGCCAATGCAACGAAGAGTCATGACCTTTGAGCCTTCTTTTTCTCTTTCTGGGGTTTGCACATGAGCGGGTTTTGGGAGTTCTATATACCATCTTAATCTTTTGATTCTTTCATTGATGGGGAGACCACAGATGTGAGCATCTGTATAACTACACAGGTTTGGTGTTTGGGCTGTTTCTGATGGTTTCATAGCATTCCGGGGTTTGCCATTGTTTTTTCTTTCTTTTTATTATTATTCTCTGTGTACAAGGACATGGACCAGCGCGCAAGATACCCGGCTTCTTTCTAGGCGCATATTCGAACCTGCAATTATCCGGATGGTTACAGGTATTTGGTTCTTCGGGTCAATTCAATTTTGTTCCCAGATGAATTCAATTTCTCATCACCAGTCTTGGCTGTTATTCCGTACCCAATACGGACATATCGTGACATTCAATAATAATCCCAATTAGGATGCCCAGCATCAATGTGCTGTTACTGTTGTCCTACGGCCCACAGCATCATTCCTGCCAACAATATTGTGCTATGGAGCCATGGACAATGTAACTGCCAAGCAGGAATCTAGGCAGCATGATTCTTTGCAGAAAACTATTTCTTAGGTCATGGATAGCAGATTCTTGTGTTCTGGCTGCCAAAATCATCCTGCTTCCCAACAGCTATGATGTATACGCCGAATTCTAGACCCTTGACCCCTGGTTTTTTTTTCCTTGGATGGTGACTGGTTGGAACCTGGTGACTGCATTCCGCTGTCCCGCCCCGATGTTATTATGTATTTTTATTAGTTTCTTATGCGAACTGTTTTTCTTTTTCATAGATGCACTAATTAATATCGGAGACTATCCATGTAGGGCGTGTACCGTGAAATACACCGTACTACAGCACACAATAATGCAGCCTTATGCCATGACGTAGAACAACACCATCCAACCCTCCGACCGGAACCCGTGGACTCCGGCGGCGGCTCTGTTTCCACTTCCGTTTCCGTTTCCGATTTCCGGGTATCAGTAAAATACAGCGTACACAAGGCTGGAGGCTGTAACTCGTATTACTGGTCAATATTACGTGCATAGCCACGAGGGGGCTACAAGCCACACTGCCACCGCCCACCATTCTTGGTAATGATCGATTCTGGAGTCATCCATCATCCGTCGGCGGTGGTTCATCAGGCATCGAAGATCTATCCCGTCCTATTCTACTCTATCTATCTACTCCTACGATTGTCTACAGTGCTGTGTTAATTTTTTTCTTTCTTTCTTTCTTTCTTTTTTTTTTTTTTTTTTAACTTAATTACTTCTTTTTGTTTTTGTTTGACAGATCTCACGTGCTGTGGTCTGGTTGGGTTCTGCGAAAACCGGAGTCCTTGAGTGCCCCTGTGGGAGTTCGATTCGATACAGCCTTGTTCAGCCTAGGATCTCTATCTACTGCCCGTCATGTCTTGGGCCGGTATGTCGCTACTTATAGTACTCTGCACTTTTGTTCTTCTTATGCTAATGTGTCCTAGGGTTCAAGAAAAAATGTCAACCGCGCGACGACGCAGGTTATGATGAAGACGGGTATGACATCCGATGATCGCAAGAGGATATGGACAACAATACTGATATCAGGGCACAGGGCATGTGGAAAGGACAAATGACCGAGACTACGAAATTGAGGAGCGGTATGGTTGCTTCCAACTGAGCGATAACATGAGGCTGACTGGTTTAGGCGGTTCCGAACTATGGAGGCGGCATCCACCCGTCTGCAGAAAGAAGCAAAGGGGTATCTGGACTCGCTACGAGGTGTGTTGCTTTTACATGGTCGGATGATGCGCTTTAAATACTAACTTCAATAGCCATGACGGCTTCGCAGATGCGTATTGCGGAGACAATAGATGCCTTCTATGGTGACGCCGGAACAAGGGATGGTGTGAGTCGGAGTTATAAGCAAGCGGTTGAGGATCTCGATGCCGAAACGATCAAAGCATTGGACGGGCCGTACCGATCTACAGTTCTCGACCCGATCTCCCGATGGTGCGCCTACTTCCCCGACATCAACGAATGCATCAAGAAGCGAAACCACAAACTCCTCGACTACGACGCTATGCGGTCCAAGGTGAAGAAGCTCGTCGAGAAGCCCGACAAGGACGCCACCAAGCTCCCGCGGACGGAGCGCGAAACCGAGATGGCGAAACAGTCATACGAGCAGCTTAACGAACAGCTGTTCACCGAACTCCCGCAACTTATCGATCTCCGTGTTCCGTACCTGGATCCCAGTTTCGAGGCGTTGGTCAAGATTCAGCTCCGGTTCTGTGCTGAGGCATACTCGCGCATGGCGCAGGTACAGCAGTATCTGGATGCAGAAACTCGCGACCAATACGCTCGTGGTGATTTGGACAACCGGGTAGAGGAGGTGTTGCAGGAGATTCGGGATTTGAGCATAGCGGGAACTGTTTGATTTTCTTTTGGGCCGGAGTTTGCTGTTTTGCCTTTTGCATTTTCTTCCCTTTATCTTTATATTACTATTCTTATTTCATTCAGTGTTGGCTTATATGTCGCTCTGTGGCTTATTGATCTGGTTATGGTTTCTATAAGGTCATTCAATGCCAAGGGTATCACAAGTCTATTGTACAAATGCTCCAACTTTTCAAACCATCTCGATCATAACTCGCCCTCCTCACGATAAAGCTCCTGAAGCAACAACTCAACCACCGGATCCGCAGCAGCTCGCACCGCCGCCAATTCTTTAGGACTCATCTTGGTCAGAACATAATCAGCCACAGACTCCCGCTCCCGACTGTCAGGGCGCCCAATTCCCACTCCAACGCGCATAATCGAAAGCCCTGTATTCTCCGCAGGTGTTCGCGGAGGATACAATCCCTTCCCGCGCAAAACCTCCATTATACTAATCAACCCCCGATGACCGCGCAGACTAGCCGCTTCCGCCCCGCCGCGCTTAACTCGTACTTTGCCGAGCGGCGACTCGAGTTCATCATGTAGGATCACGAGTGTTGGCTTCCGCTGCCGTGTATCAATCGTGGAAATCCATTTTTGCAACCGGCGCACGAGTTTGCCTCCCGACTCGTTCATGTACGACGGACTCTTCCATGTTTTGTAGAAGACTGATTGTTCTGCGTCTAAGAGCGTGTGGTTTGGTGTGGGTGAGAAGCGCGTGGGGAGGAGTGGGACGAGGGATTCAAAGAGGATGTGGCCGGCGCTGTGGCGGGTGGTTCGGTATGGAGCGGGGTTTCCGATGGAGGCGATGAAGAGGATGTGGTTGGCGGGTTTTGTGAGGTCCGGCATTGTCGGTTTGGGGGTGTTGGTGGGTTTGGTGTTGTTGGACATTGAAAGTAAAAGCGGGTTGAAGATATGTCAATATCACGTGATGTATAAAGTGATTGATTGATCTGAGCTTGGATGATCTGTGCTGTGCTTTGGTTCTTATAAAAGTGTCAATTTTTTATGCTAATTGAGAGTTTTGAGCGTCAGCAGAGTATGATGGCTCATTCTGCTCAGAAAAGAGTAATTGACTACATAATGCATATGCTCAAAGCTTGATGAAATACTGATCGTCCGCAGCAGCTCTGCCACTACGTAAATCAGCCTCGAGTCAAATCCAACCTCTTCATTCCTTCCATTGAGAAACCAATTCGTTTCTCTCTCAATATGGCGATTCATCCTCCATTCCACACATGTCAGTGAGGCTGGAGTACAGAGTTTTCTTCACCTTCTGCTCTTTTTGCTTTTTGCGAGCTTCATGCCTGACCAGCACCGGTCCACAGAGGCGATTTGATACTTGCTAATAAAAGGGCCGTGGAATGGGTCTCTGATTTCTTCAAAGAATTGTTCTTCTTTCTCATGGTCTCTGGATCGTCATGTCATGGACGGAAAAAGCATCTGGCTGTCGAGTAAAAGGACCAGCCAGGGCTTGGCTGTAGAGGAGAGCAAGGTGGCGGATTCACTTCAGGGGCTTGACATAAATGACTACCAAGAGGAAGAAGATGACGACGACGATGATTATGATGCGTCGGATTCAGCGTCCATGTAAGTCCTTTCCTTTGTGTGCCAGACAGCTGAGACTGACAGCTATAGAAAATCTACCAAATCATTCGAAGCGCAGAATATCCATGTTACCATCGAACATGGCCGCAGATACTGCGACGACATCTACTTCATGCCCAACGATGAGACCGAAAGTACCCGTTTGAACATCATCCACCAGATCTACCTCATCCTCCTCGACGGCAAGCTTACCACCGCGCCCCTGGCCAAAGACGCGCCACGAATCCTCGACATCGGCACCGGCCCTGGCGACTGGGCTCTCGAAATGAGCAGCCTGTACCCGAAAGCTACAATAATTGCAACAGATATCAGTATCTTCGATACCGGACTTGCACATATCGACCTCCCCAACGTATCCTTCCAGCTTGATGACGCCCGCGAGGGGTGGACTTACCACGAGCCCTTTGACCTGATCCATATGCGTGGCCTTTCGGGCGCGTTCAATGACTGGCCTGCCATGTATCGACAGGCATTCGAACATCTCAACCCGGGCGGGTACATTGAGATCGCGGATTCGGACCCAGCAGGCGACTCCGTGACGTTCCCGAATTCAGAGAGCTCGTACTTTCACATCTACACGGGTGCCATGCGCTCTGCTGCCGAGGCATTGAGATACCCACGCGATCTTAGCCATCTGAAACCCAACATGCTCTCCGCTGCCGGCTTCGTGGACGCTCGTGTCTTTGAACGCATCGTCCCCATCGGGTTATGGCCGCAGGACCTGCACGAGAAGACCCTGGGGAAGATGACATTAATCGCTGTGCTTGAGGGACTAGAGGCGTATGGTCTGCGGCCGCTTACGGCTACTGGATGGACGGCAGATGCAGTCATGGATCTTTGCGAAAAAGCAAAAGTGGAGATCATGAGCGCGGATCGGATGACTGCGCGCGTGAAGTTTATGACCGGGAGGAAACCGATTTCGAGGATTCAGATGAAGGAAATGAGGCAGAGGGAGGTGCTTGCTAAGGCCTTGCGGAAGGTTGAGGAGTGATACCACTGTAATTACCAGGCGCCTGGGTCTGAATGAGAAGATTGTAAATAACTGCCTTGTACTATTGTAGACTCAAAAATTGCACGAGAATGACGATTATTTACAAACAAATAGGTATAAACCACTTTTTTCTAAGCAAACTCCGTCCGAATCCCATAATGCAGAAACACGACTCATGCAACAAGCATAAAGTAAACAAAGATTACAGCTGGAACTTGGTCCTCTCCTTCTCCATTCCACCCTTCCATTGCCATTCCTGTCCGCTAGTCTTATGAATCCCCTTGTCGACACGACGGAGCTTAAGCGTGAATCGCGGCCCAAGTTCCTGCAAGCCAGCACGGATACCCTCTGCGCCCTGCATTTCCTTACCGTCCGCCCCGACGACGGATTTCTCTGTCTCGCGCTTCTCGCGGAAGACATACCGATGTCTGCGCACGAAGAGGTAGTCACGCTGGTTATGGATGGTGACTACATTCCGGCCCTCGAATTCCGGCTTTGGCGGGAACAGATTCTGGAAGAGATGCGCCGTCAAGAGACCCAGTGGTGTGCGGAAGTTGTTCAAGATCAGCTCCGGCCAGTGTTCGGTTGCTTTACCATGACCCGGGATCTTCTTCGAGTCTATCCAGTTGCTGATGGAGAAGTGGAAAGTCGGGCCACCCGGGAGGTGGATGATGGTTAGGCCGGAGATGCGCTTTTGGTCCTCGTTGACCACGACGAGAGCGGTAAAGTTGCGGTTTGTAGCGAACTTGGCGATTTCGCGGATCGAGAACTTATGCGAGTACCGGTGTGCGTTGCGGCGGATGTAGACGCTGTTGGGGAAGAAGTTGACGAGTTGTTCGGCTTCGTTGTGGAGGGTGGAGTGGAGCACTGTGGTGATGAGGATCTTGGGCGGACGTTGCTGCAATTCGGCCGAGAACAGAGATGGGAATTTGGCTGCCAGTGCTTCGGGAGCTAGGTTGAGGTTCGTGCTTTTCGTAGATTGGCTTGGACTGGTAGCGCGTTCTGTAGCTGATGGGAGCGATGACTTCTTGCGTCCTCGGTCTTCGTCTTTTTGTTTGTCTTCATCCTCGTCCTCGTCGTCTTCTTCGTCACTGCTCGCAAGCATACTGTCGACGTCGTCATCGTCATCCTCCTCGTCCTCTGAGCTCTGTTCATTGTCCTTCAATGGCCGATTAAGCTCGTCCTCTTCTTCCTGTTTCTGTCTCTTGATCCGCTCCACGTCGACGCTCAACCCCAGCGGATCCTCGACATCGCTGTCCACATCATCCCACACTCGCTTGCGATCAATCGTCAACGGGATGTTCCGCTTTAATCTGTCCTCCTTCAAGCTCGGATCTTTGGATTCTTCCTTCTTCCTCGCAAATCGTTCTGCCCGTCGCGCGGAGTCTTTGGCGCGCTTCCGCTTGACATGGAGATCTTGGCGGGCCAATTTGTTTCCTGGCTTGTACTCTGCAGTGACGCCCGGCAGGGGCCTAATTCCCTTTTTCGCCATTGTGTGAAAGATATAACGGTTGGTTATCAAGACTCGCTGCGATCAATCAATCTGAGATACAAAAAAAGATAATTTTTGGCGGGACAACGTATCTCCGGCGGTGAGTGTTTTTATGCAGGAATAAAATGGTATTAACGAGCAACGCTACGAAAGAGATACAGAAAAGAGGGTAAAAGCAAGGACAATTCATGCATTGAATTGTCAATTCGACGTTCTTTTTGCATAGTCTCACCAGTCCTTACTTGATATTGCACATTGCCTGCGTGCGGATCACGTGGCGGATGACTCAAGTGCCCTTCCTTCGCCTGCTCCCCCGCCGTTTTCCTCCAACAATAAAAAACCCCGCCAGGAACTTTTCCTCCACCACCGCTGCCCTCAGAGCTATTCCAGCGAAGAAGCAAGACCCCACGATGGCCACTGTGAACACCAAGACCGGCCAGGCCGTTGACCGGTCTGTCCTCGACTCGCTGCTCCGTCGACGTCTCTTCTACACCCCGTCGTTCGAGATCTATGGAGGTGTTTCCGGCCTCTACGACTATGGCCCTCCCGGGTGCGCCGTGCTGAACAACATGATCGAGCTGTGGCGCAAGCATTTCGTGCTGGAGGAGGACATGCTCGAGGTCGACTGCACCATGCTCACGCCCGAGGAAATCCTCAAGACCAGTGGTCACGTCGAAAAGTTCGCCGACTGGATGTGCAAGGACCCTAAGACTGGCGAGATCTTCCGCGCGGATCACCTGGTGGAGGAAGTGCTCGAGGCACGGCTCAAGGGTAACAAGGAGGCCCGTGGTCAGACGGTCGTGGTGGACGAAGCAAAGGAGGCTAAGAAGAAGAAGAAGGTCAGCGCCAAGGCTGTCGAGTTGCCTGATGCCGTGGTCCAGGAGTACGAGGAGCTTCTCGCGCAGATTGACAACTTCGATGGTGCAGAGCTGGAGGGTATCATTGCCAGGCACGATATCAGAAACCCTACGACTGGAGGCAACCTCCTTCCTCCCGTGGCTTTCAACCTGATGTTCCAGACTGCTATCGGCCCCAGCAGTAACATGCCTGGCTACCTGCGTCCGGAAACGGCCCAGGGTCAGTTCTTGAACTTCCAGAAGCTGCTGGACTTCAACCAAAACTCCATGCCGTTTGCCTCGGCCTCGGTTGGCAAGTCGTTCCGTAACGAGATTTCCCCCCGTGCCGGTCTTTTGCGTGTGCGTGAGTTCTTGATGGCGGAGATCGAGCACTACGTCGACCCCGAGGGTGGTAAGAAGCACACTCGCTTCGACGAAGTCAAGGACGTTGAGCTGTCCCTGCTTAACCGTGATGTCCAGTCTTCTGGTAAGACTGACATCCAGAAGATGACCGTCGGCAAGGCCGTCGAGACCGGTCTTGTGGACAACGAAACCCTCGGATACTTCATCGCACGTATCCAGCTCTTCCTTCTCAAGCTTGGTGTGGACCCCAGCAAGCTTCGATTCCGTCAGCACATGGCCAACGAAATGGCCCACTACGCTTCCGACTGCTGGGATGCCGAGTTGCAGACCAGCTATGGCTGGATCGAGTGTGTTGGCTGTGCCGACCGCAGCGCCTACGACTTGACTGTTCACAAGAACAAGACTGGTGCTCCCTTGGTCGTCCGTGAGCCGCGCGCCGAGCCCTTGAAGATCGAGGAGTGGCAGGTCGACCTCGACAAGAAGAAGTTCGGTCCCCGCTTCAAGAAGGACGGTAAGACGGTCGAGGCGGCTATCAACGCCCTTTCGCAGGACTTCCGGGAGAAGTTGTCGCTTGAACTCGAGCAGAATGACAAGGTCGAGATCGATGTGGAGGGTGTTGCATCCGGAAAGGTTGAGTTGGAGAAGGATATCATCAAGATCGAGAAGCGCACGCGGGTTGATAACACTCGCGAGTACACTCCTAACGTCATTGAGCCGTCGTTCGGTATTGGGCGTATCTTGTACAGTATGATTGAGCACGTTTATTGGTCTAGAGAAGGCGATGAGGCCCGTGGTGTAAGTTCTTCCTTTCCCGAGTTGCTATTCAGAACTAACATATCTCCTAGGTTCTCTCCTTCCCCCCTCTGATCGCACCTACCAAGGTCCTGATCGTTCCTCTTTCGAGCAATCAGTCCTTCGCACCTCTCTCTCAGCGTCTGATGACCAAGCTCCGGCGTATGGGTGTCTCGAACCGGGTTGACGACTCGTCCGCCAGTATCGGGAAGCGGTATGCTCGTAACGACGAACTGGGTACTCCCTTCGGTATCACCGTCGACTTCCAGTCCATCAAGGACAACACCTTCACTCTGCGTGACCGTGACTCGACGAAGCAGGTCCGTGCCAGCGAGGACGAGATCGTGCAGGCTCTCAAGTCGTTGGTGGACGGTGATGAGACATGGGAGGACATCCGGCAGCGTCTGCCCGAGTTCACTGGCCAGGACGTTGAGTAAGGCTGTGACTTGGCTTAGTTTCCTGTTATGTTATAAAGAGAGAGGTTTTAAAATATCCATTTGTTTCTGAACATTTCTACACATGCTGTTCTTGTATTTCGGTAGCCAAATAAAAGTTCCGATCGCCAAGAAATCCGGGGCGGAAATCAGGACCTCCGGCGTCAATTGTTGTTCACAACATTGCATTCCTTATTGCTTTCTGTCCTCTTTTGATTCCCTGTCTTTTACCTGCACACTACGATACACTTGTTGATACCAACGCCTCTACGCGACCGCCAAAATGGCGCCGACTATTCCCTCAGCCAAGCTGACTCTCTCGTGCCCCCTCTTCGCCGCCGACTTCGACCCGCGGAATAGCGACTATCTCCTCGTGGGCGGAGGTGGAGGTGAAGGTCGCAGCGGTGTTGGAAACAGAATCGCAAGTTCTCTCCTTTACTTACCACATATAAGTTATCTGTGTACGTTGCGCTAACATCCGATCGCATTAGGCCCTCTTGAACACGTCCAAGCGCGATGAGATCACCGAATCAACCGAGATCGAGCTATCGCGCGATGAGGATTCCGTCACGTCGATGGCTGTTGCGCAAGCATCCGAGGACACCATAACATCTCTGGCCGGAATAAATAGTTCCATGGCTGAGCAAAAGCGCGATAACAACCAGCACCTGCGATCGTTCAAGATCGACCTTCCGAAGAAGCAAGGGGAGAAGAAGATGCTGGAGAAAACAACAATACCGGTCGATGCGGTAGAGAAATCTACCCTACTGTCGCGTACGTCGCTGTTTAGAACCAAGGGTGCGAAGGCTGGGTCGGATACGTATCAGCGGATCGTGAGAATGTCGCCTTGGAGGGGTGAAGAGAAGCCGTCGCGAGTGGGTGCTATTACGACCGGATTGGCGCCATCTGGGGAGATCGTTTTCTTCCAGGCTACGTCGACACCAACGGAGTCGGACGTGATTGAGAGGATCCGTCTAGGTGATGGGGAGGAAGCTGAGGACATCGACATCATCGATTCGGGGAAGAAGGATGGGAAGTTTCAGGTTGCGTATACCAACGGCGTGGATGTGTTTACATGTCAGGTCTCGTCGAGTACGAAGGGAAGTACTGCCCCCAATGTGAGTCGTGTGTATACCATTCCCCTGCCGGAGAAGGGGATGAGGAGGCCGAAATTCCGCGCGCTGCGGTTCCTATCCCCTACATCTTTGCTACTTCTGCAGAATGCACCGGACCGGAGTGGGTGTGAGCTCGTGGTTCTCAGCCTGTCAACATCAAATGAGAAGAACAAGGCGGCGGCGATCGTGCGAAGGAAGAAGCTACGCAAGACAATCAAGATTGGACTGGGTCTCGACGTATGCAATCTCGGTACTGGTGCGGAGAACGACCAGGCGCAACAGACCATCATTGCAGTCACAGGTAGCGATCAGTCCATTGAGCTGCTCACGCTCGAATACAACCCTGAGAAAGGCTACGGGAAACTCCGCCCATACACCAGTCTCCACGACGTCCACCCCTTCTCTGTGACCAAGATCTGCTTCTCAACATTTACTCCATCTTCGCACCCCGTCATCCCAGAAGTCGGTCCACAATACGTTAAACTCGCCTCCGTCAGCATGGGCAATACCGTCGTCGTCCACACGATCCCCCTCTCCCCGTTCCCCGTGTCCAGTCGCACCCCACGCTACGTCCTGGCTGTCCCCGGCGAGTCGGAAACGTGGGCCACGCTTCTCAGCGGGTTCACGGCACTCTTCACAGTCCTTGTCATCTGTGTTCTTCTCCAGGGGTACATGGAGATCAAAGGAGGGTCGCCATCGTACTTGGGTGCTTCCGAGTGGCTTCCTCCGCAGGTTCAGAGTGTCCTTGGCCACCCTACTCCTTCTCTCTCAATCGAGCGCATCGACACCTCCACATCCTCTGGCCCCACAGCTACTACTACCACCTCAATAATACAAAACACAAACACAAACACCCAACGACAACCCCTCCGCGACCTCCTCCGCTCCCGACAAGAACAAGAAGCAGCAGACGCAGTAACTGCTGGCAGCAGCAACAACATCATCGTTCGCTGCACCACCGCCGACGACGGTACCTCGAACGAGATCCTCATTGAAACAATCCCCTCAGAACAACAAGTCCAAGATCAGACTCGTCCGTGGGAAGAGCTAGGCGAGGAGCAAAAGTCCCTCTGGAAACAGCGGTTGGCGGACGCAGGTCACTGGGCTGTGGAAGAAGGCGAGACGATTCTGAAGGGGGTGTTGTTTGCGGAGTATTGTGGGTTTATTAGGGAGTTGGTGAGGGAGGAGTTGCCTTGATTTGATTTAGGGTAGGGGTTGATGCTTAATGAGGTGGTTTGCTTTCGGGTTTGCTTTCTTATAATTCGGATGAGTGAGTGGACTTTGTATACTTGGATGACCGATGATTGTACGCTATATTATTATTTGCTATGTGCTTTAGCTAGAATAGACAAAATTATTGCTTTAATTCTTGTGCACTGGAAAAATTACAGTACTACGGAGTATGGTTTAGATTAAGGCATAGTTCACTCATCGTGACTCGTCGCATGCAGGGTGTCTGTACAGATCAAGGCGTCCAAATTATCTGTCTTTCCTCGTTCCCTCATAGTTGCATTCATAATGCCCAAATTTTATTATCATCAGCATTAGTTAAACAAATAGTTTTGTTCGCTGGGTAGGTGTACAACAGTCACAAGTCACATTGACACGAACGGAGGGGGCGAGGAAATAAGACATTATCCATAGCCACAGCAAGAGGAACAGGGGGGTAACAAGAAGTAGAAAGTAACGCCAAAAAACGCCAAATTATTCACACCAAATCGGTAATATGATATGGAAAGAAGGGACAACACGAGTCTGGATATCATACGGTAATGCAGGTCGTAACGGAATCAATGAATCAAAAAGAAATTCAACCGGAGGCGCGTAAATGTGACCCATATGTGCGCGAGACAGAGATTGAGTGTAAATCGACAAAAGGAGGAAATGAAAAGGGGGGAGAACCCTCAAGGCTCCGAACTGTTTCATCACTGACCGTTGTTCTTCTTCCAGCGGAGTAGTTCGGCCAGGCTCGCGAGACTGCATCCCTGCTTGAGGAATTCATGGGCTAGAAGTTCATCTGCAGTGGCACGGCTGCGAACGTCAACGCAGAGACAGACACTGAGGAAAGCCTTGAGCTCCTTGCTCAGCTTCTCCGGCTTCTTCAAGCGAGGAGTGCCGTTGGTGGCAATGAGATACAGCGCCTTGAGGGGTTCCTCGTTCAGGTACGGGGGCTCAGACTCGATCATTTCAATGGCCATAATTCCGAGAGACCAGCAGTCGACCTTCGGACCGTATTCCTTTTGCTTGACAACTTCAGGTGCCATCCAGTAAGGAGTTCCCACCATCGTGGCACGCTTGTTTTTGGATTCGGTCAGTTTAGCACAGAAACCGAAGTCAGCTGGAAGAGAGTGTATAGTCAGCAACCGTTTTGGGCTTATTTAGAAACTGCAATGACTCACTGATCTTAACATGACCAGCGCGGTCCAGGAGAACGTTGTCACTCTTGATATCACGGTGGATGATGTTCTGACTGTGCAGGTGGGCCAATCCTCTGCAAGTCTGGGGGGGGGGGGGGGGCGTTGTCAGCAAGGTTTCTTTTTCTGTAGGGGAAGGGGGACAAACCTCTGCACAAATAGTGGCAATCTGGTCTTCCTGAATCACGGGGTTGTTGTCAATAACATCCGTGAGAGCACCACCTTCCATGAATTCCATAACAACCCAGAGTTCACTGCTCTGTTCCTGCAGGAACGAGTCAAGGAAGTTGACGATATTCGCATGCTGGCTATCCTTCATGACAATGATTTCATTGACAATCAACTCCTTCCGCGGCTGGCTCCGCAGGTCCATTTGCTTAATGGCAACCTGGCAACGGGGACCATACTGCCGGTACAGCTCGCGTGCCACGGGTGACATGGCATGCTCCTTGACCCGAGCCACATACACCGATCCCGAGGCACCTTGTCCGATCTTCCGTTGCTTGCTGTACGACTCGTTGGGGTTATCCTTGGAAACCACGGCCCGTAACCGGTCCATGACTTCATTTTCGGTCATGGCCGACATCCGAACCTCCTTCCGGGGCTCCGCCTTCTTGGTCAGGGCGGCTTCAGCTTGACGGATACCATCAGGCTTGTTGGCAGATTGCTTGTTTGCAATGTTCAAGGGCTTCACAGGCTGAACCGGAGCGGGAAGTTTCGTCGGTGGAGGTCCCTGAGCATGCTGCGGGCCCTTGGCTTGGTTCCAGGCGTCATGCGGCGGATAACGCGAGCTTGGAGATGTCTGGTGGTCATCTGGCCGCGATCCGGGAGCCCGCGATGCGCCATAGCCATTGGTACTGCTGGGTGCCGGGGGTGCCGGGCGCTGAGCAGTCAGTTGACCCGGACCGCCGGGAGGGCGATTGGCCGAACCTGGAGCGGGTGGTGCGGGACGACTAGGCTTGTAGCGGTCGTTCATCGAGGGATCTGAAGGACCATAGCCGCCAATTTCCTGCTTGGCCAGCGGAACGCGAGTCTTAGGGAGGGATGCATTGTACGCCTCCTGGTCACGACGCTCCTGGTCATCGCGAGCACGACGGGCTTCCTCTTCCAGACGGCGTCGTTCCTGGTCGGTCGCCTCTCGGACACGATCGGCCTGTTGCTGATGTTCAAACGCACGGTCGTTCTGGGACGAGAAGTTTGAGGGATGACTGCTGGAAGGAGACGCTCCGGTGTCCAAGCGCTGCGAGGGTGGTGGCGGGGGAGGTCTGGGAGGGGCGATGGAGCTGCCGACCGAGTTGTTGCTGTAGGGCTTCGGCTGCTGGCCAGCAGGCGACGGAGGAGAGGCCAAACCGGAAAAGTACTGAGGGTTCTGCTCACGCATTTTGATATCCGAGTAGAACTCGAGGACCTCAATGACGGCCTGGGGGTTTTTCTTGTAGTCTTCCTTGGTAATGGCCGACGCCGTCAAGAGCTTCTCCCACTCTGGTGGCAGGCCGACGAAGGCACCCGTCTGAGGGTCGAAGCCAACATGGACACGATGGCTGAAGTTGGTGGGATTGCTGACGCCGCCCATGCCGGGACAGCGCTCGTAAATCTTATCGATCCAGTCGTAAATCTCATCATCGCTTTTGACTTCGCAGGTGATGCTCTTGGTCGGGACTTCGCGAGAGAGCATCGCGGTTTTGGACGTAGCATCCTTGGGGTTGGCCAGGCGGACGACCTCAAAGGCCATCTTGGCGTCCTCGGAGCGGGAGACGCCAGTGACGGTGTTGAGGGGGATGGAGAGAACGATCTTGCCAGTCTCATTTTTCAGGAATTCGAGACGAAATTCGCGCAGGATGAGATAACGTTGGTTCCACGTGGCGAGGAACTTGTCCTCTTTTGAGCGCACATAACCTTCCTTGATGATGGCCACACCCCCTTGACCGGACTGGTTGGTCTTTGTATGCGACAGAGCAGGACTGCTGGTGTTGGGGAAGAGCGACAGGTTGCCCGACCCGGGGGTCGAGGGAGAGCTTAAACTCATTTGGCCAAAGGAGGTAGCGTTGCTGGAAGGATCGGTCGGGATGTTCAGCTTGGGACGTTCGGCAGGAGGGCGAGGAGCAGGCCCGGGGTTCATGAACTGGTCCGTTGTGTACATGCTATGTACGGAGAAGAACTGCAGCAACTGAAAACACAGCGGTTAGTGACAAGTCGCGAATGCGGGGCTGGAAATGGGAAATTCGATCTGTCAAAGTCGGGGGAGATTGTTTCCCCAGATTGACACTGGGAGCGGGAGAAACGAAGAAGACAACTCAACAATAATAATAAAAAGACAGAAAGAAACTTACTCTCCGTAAATAGATTAGCTGTTGGAGGACAGCAAGCAGCGAGACGCTAAGGTCTCAAGAGTCCACGGACCAGGCTGTCCAACAGTAACCACCAAGCGGAGGGGAGAGAAACAGAGAGGATGAGGGGAATAAGAGAAAAAGCAATGTGAGAATCCGTCCAATGTCACAAATGACGTCCACAAATGCCTTTCAAGGACTCCGTCACCGTGTAAGCGCTGAGGCTCTAAAATTGGTTGGATTGAAGCCTCTATAAGACTAACAATGATAGGGGGGGAGAGACACGGAGGAACCTAAGGCATTGGCGCGCGCGGGAGGATCCTGGTAGAGTTGGAAGACCAAGAGTCAGATAATGTAATTTTATCTCAATTTCTCATGAAGAAAAAGGGAAAAAAATAAAAATAAAATAAAAAAGAAAAGAAAAGAAAAGAAGAAAAACTTACCGGACTGCTTGGTGGTCCCTGGGATTGCTGGAGATTACCACAGCAGAAAGGGGGGAGAAGGTGGAGGGAGAGGAAAAGAGGGAGAGACGAATGATATGGGAGACGGAGATGCTGACTGATGCGACGGTCTCACGGTCTCTCTTTTCTTTCAATTGATGAAAGTAGATTTCAGGGCGAAAGAAGAAGAGAAGAAAAAGAAGAGAAGAGATAATAGTGAGAGGGAGAGGGGACGAGGTTGAGGTTGAGGTTTCACGCCTGGGGGGGCGGGTTTAGTCAAAGAGCAAATACAGGGGCAGGTCGTACATCCTCTTATCATTCTACACCACTACATACAATTATTGAGATGTCAATAAATATTCAATTGGAATTATTTTCTTTCCAATTGCATATTGCTACTCTGCACTCTATGTATTTCTGCATAAAATCGACTGCGGTACATGGTGCATAGGAGTACATATCTGCAAACAATGAAATTGTCTCTGGGTTACTCAATATTCAGAGTTAACGCCAGACAAAACAAATATCTCTCACTGTACCAGATAGATTGCTGCCATCTCGCTTGACTAAACCAACGCAGGTTCCAATGGTTTTCTTTTCTGTGCCCTGACTCGATTCAAAAATTCCTGAACACAGGGCCCCTTAAAGAATATTTTTTTTTTTTTTAAAAAAAAAAAAAAAAAAAAAAAAAAAAAAAGTAGAACGGAACGTTTCCCGGCCCACGGGTCGACAGGGACCGCATCCAAAGGCTGGTGAATGCGAATCAACGGTTATGCCCATCGTCTGCAGAGGCCCACAGGCCTGATTCATGGACCCCCTTTTTTCTTCTTCTTTCCGCTGCCTTTCCCTCCCGTCCCGCTGGCCAATCGTCATTAGAGGAAGGCAGGCTCGGCATTATGGTGCTGTCAAAGCTGGGAATAGGGAAAACGCTTGGAGAGCTTTAGCATGGCAGCAAGCAGGTTGAGAAGCACGAGATGTCAACTGCTCTGAGGGTACATTTACCGCAAAAGGTCTAGTGTGTCGCTTGTTCTTGGCATAAATATCACGTGTGTTCTGCACAAAGTCAAGTCTTCCTTCAGCTTCACAGTATAGAGATGCAGACTGGATTAAAAGACTACATCCACCTAGCTCGGGAACAGTTCTCAAAAGATTACTCCGTATACCTTCAGTTTTCGGACCAACCCAGAACGCGTACCATCGAATTCATACGTATAATAGAAGCAGTGTACCCCATATTCATACAGAGGTCATTCTGTACTCTATTAGCAACTCAATTGTACTCCGTAGACTAACTTCATTGGGTTTTGGGTGTGGCTGTCTTGCTTGATTTCGTGTTCGTTACAGATGGGGTACTGATGAGACATGGCTTGCAGATGTCAATGCAGGAAGCTGTATCCGATGGAGAACGGTGGGCCAGAATGTCATGGTCAATGTGTATATCACAATTGTACGTAGTACGTAGCAATAATGGTGCTGAGTATGTAACACTTCTCCATGTGAAGGACGGTCTAAGTTATCGATAACCTAAAAAGTGAGCCCCACGGCGATCCCCACGATTTGTTGATGCCTGGATGCCTGTACTTCTGCCCCTCTCTCCTCACCGCTCAGCCACGTTCCTTTCCCAAAAAGGACAGCTGTCGGAGAGAACTCCATACTATTTCTACTCACTATTGTATCCAATTGGTCTGGTTTCGGCTGCTTGCTGTACTTCTAGCTACCTCTCTACGCCTTTCTCCATCTTTCCGTGCGGTATCATAGCAACATGTCGACCGAGGCCGCAAGTGTCTACCCAGCCCTGCAGGATCGCCCTGTGCAGGGCACCATTTGCCTGTTTGATGTCGACGGCACTTTGACGCCAGCAAGGAGGGTATGTTCTGCTATTTGCGCAGAACTGCATAATTAAAAACTGATACAGCAAGGGGAAAAATGACTAACAAGTTCCCATTGAACAATAGGACGTCACTCCTGAAATGCTCGAGCTCCTTTCTCAATTGCGCCACAAGTGTGCCATTGGCTTCGTTGGCGGCTCTGATCTGGTGAAGCAGCAAGAGCAGCTCGGTACTCCCTCGATCAATGTCACCAGTCTCTTCGACTTCTGCTTCGCCGAGAATGGGTTGACGGCGATTCGTCTGGGCAAGTCTCTTTCCAGCAACAGCTTCATCCAATCGTTGGGTGAGGACAAGTACCAGAACTTGGTGAACTTCTGCCTGAAATATATTGCGGATGTGAAGCTCCCCAAGAAGCGTGGAACCTTTGTTGAGTTCCGTAACGGAATGGTCAACATTAGCCCTGTCGGAAGAAGCGCCAGTGTCGACGAGCGAAACGAGTTTGAAGCGTATGTCTCCGTTCAATTGCTATACAGCACTATGATATGTTTTAATGAGACGGAATAACTGATTTGGAATTTGCAGATACGACAAGGTGCACAACATCCGCAAGACCTTGGTGGAAGCTCTGAAGAAGGAATTCCCCGACTATGGTCTCACGTAAGTCTTGCCAATGAGAATCACCTCGGCTCTTTTTCTTTCCTCGCGCTAATGTCGAGTTATGGCATAGTTATTCGATCGGCGGCCAGATCTCTTTCGACGTTTTCCCTACCGGCTGGGACAAGACCTACTGCCTGCAGCATGTCGAGGCCGAGAAGGATATCTCGGGCGTTGAGTACAAGACCATCCACTTCTTCGGCGACAAATCCTTCGCTGGCGGCAACGACTACGAAATCTACTCTGACTCACGAACGATCGGACACGCGGTTACTGGCCCTGAGGACACTATGAAGCAGCTGCAGGAGATCTTCCGGTTATAAGATGGGAGTAAGACCGTTTGAGCATGGATGCATTCCTGGCATGGTGGGGTATTAATTAGAAGGAATCCTAGTATGATACCACTAAGATAATGGCATATTCTATTCTTAACATTTCTGTATACGGAGCAATACTCCAGGCTATCTCCAAATACCGTGGGGCTTATCCGCGGGATCGCCCCGCCGAATCAGGACTGGATCTTAGTCAGCACGGAATGGAGCTCTCTAACTAGTTAACTAGTTATTCCTGGAACCAACTCGACTGACTCTGATATCAACCGGGAAAGCATCGGGAAAGCTAATGTCTTTTTTCACCCTTGATGAATCACATCCCTAATATTTTGCAATAATAAGAATGGCTCCTCCAAAAACAGTCACGGAGGTGCCGCGGTCAATTCTGCCTCGGTTGACCTGGAACGGCACCTCTGCCCGAACTACCGTCACTCCTCTCTCGACAGGCTACCAGTCTCAGCAACAGCGACGCATACAAGGCTGGAACTCAGTCGCACACCAACTACATACCTTGACCTTTTCTCCTTATTTCTCCCGCTTCCTCACCACCGCCGCTTCCCGAGACCTTGGTCCCAGGCGTTCGTCGACGTCTTCCGCTCGTCGTCCGTCCGTTGGACCCATCAACAATCCGGTCCGGTATAATGGCGTCTACGTTGCAGTATTCAAATCGGCCCGACGTGCTTTTCATGCGACGGCGTCTCGTCAGAGGGATCACCACTTCGACACACTGAAGTTTGTGCAGCGGTTGAAGGCGGAGGGATTCAGTGAGGAGCAGGCTGTCGCTATGATGAGGGTTTTGAACGATGTCATCCAGGAATCGATTCAAAATCTTACCCGGACCATGGTCCTCAGAGAAGGTTAGTGGTCCATTACTATCTTGCGCACGGCTGGCTTGAAAATATGTCGGGGCGAGTTGTCAAGAGGCGTCTTCTCGTGGATTTAAACACTCCGGTATCAATGCTTAACGCTTTTCTCTTTTCTATAGACTCGGAGCGATCGACATATACACAGAAAGTTGATTTCGCCAAGCTACGGTCGGAATTGCTCAACGCGGATTCGACCGAAGCCCAGCTCACACGTTCGTCGCACGAGAAAATTGCCGCCGATCTGGCAAAGCTCAACTCGCGGCTGCGGGACGAAATTGGACGCACCCAGGCCTCTGTCCGCTTGGATTTGAACCTCGAGAAGGGACGAATCCGCGAGGAAGCCAATGGTCAGGAGATGCGAATCAAAGAGACGGAGACAAGAATCGAGCAGGAGGTCGCCGGACTGAGAGAGCGTGTGGAGGCCGTGAAGTTCTCCACATTGCAGTGGCTCATGTATGATCCAGTTGATCCATTCTATTACTACGGTTGCCAGGCTAACATACTTATCTAGGGGTGTCTGCACCGGTACTGCGGCTCTGATTCTTGGTGCCTGGCGTCTCTTCATGTGAATTTACTAGCAGCATGAGGTTGGCGTTTAGGATATCATATAGGTCATTTCAAGCGAATACGTATACTCGGGAAACCAACTTCATTTGTAACTTCGATTATTCTGTACAATAAACCCCCTCTCGTCTTCCAAACGGGCCGTCGAAGGATTAACAGCCCTATATTGATTTGTTATATCACGACGTTTTGACAAAAAAAATATCATTTCTACTTCTATCTAATTCAACTTAAACAGCAATTGAGTCATGTGGATGCTGGGGTGTGAATGTCAGGAACTAGGGTCAGGTCAAACAGCACAGCAGTTTCCGCATTTGTCCTCAGTCGTGGATGAGCTCTTGCCTACTATGTCCACATCAAGCGAAAGAAAGATGACTTTACCCAGAACATACCAACCTACAACACAATCGCAAGGCTGATCCTTGTGCGGCTGTGAACTCCTACTAGGATTAACTCGGACTAGCCTGAGTGATCGACATCCAGCTATACAGAATCATGTGGTTTCTTTCACTTCCTTTTTCTGTCCCCCTCTCCCCTGATCTCTGCCAACGAGTGGGCCATCTGTCGTCAACAGGGACCAGCCTCTCGACTATCGTCGAATCTATCTTCTTTCTCATCAATCCTTTTCGCACCTTTTCCCTTATCGATATCTTGTTCAGTCTCATCGCATCGAGACTGTTTGAGGTGCTGGTCGGAGTATTGGTCGGAGCGCTATCGAGATATAAAGGACTCTCCTTCCAGAATTCGAGCGCAAAGCTACAGAAACTCGAGAAAGGTCCCATTTCGAAGACTGAGAAGGGGAAACGAATCTCTACCGAGATCTTCGTCTACGCATGGGTTCAGGTGGCTGAGATCTTCAAACAATTTCGACGGGGCGACATGATGTTGTCGTTCTATCTCACCCACTTCTTTCTATTATGGCTGCATGTCTCCCGCTGTGCAGCCAGGCAGAATGTCTTCCAAATCTACCAGCCTGTCTTGACGATGGACGAGGGGAGTGTTGGTTGCAGTGAAAATTTCTTGCTAATGAACCACGTGTTTTCTTCGAGTTACGGGAAGCCGTTTGTTGGTAGGTTTGAAAATCACTGTCGGCTGACGGTGTGCGTCTTTGGCTGACACAGACACACAGGGAGCTATGAGCCACCAGGCTGTGACTTCGATACGGTCCGGATAAATTTCACAGTTACATCAGAGGGCCGGCAGTTTGATCGACTCGCGCTTATGTATTTGGGCGACACAGAAGTGTTCCGAACGTCGACAGCTGAGCCTACTGCGGATGGGATAGTCTGGACTTACATCAAGGACATGTCACCGTACAATGCTTTGTGGAACGAACCGCAGAAGCTAATATTCGATCTCGGCAATCAGATCACGGATATCTACACCGGTTCCTTTACTGCAACCCTGACTGCGACCTTCTCTCAAAGCGGAAATGTGAAGACGGCAGACATGATTATGCCAATTTCTGGGCGGAAATCAGACTCCAATTCGCCGAGTGCTTTCACCGTTCCCACAGACAATACAACGGTGCATTACAAAGTCCCTTCATCGGCCTCACGTGCTGTTGTGTCCATCTCTGCGTGCGGACAGTCTACGGAAGAATTCTGGTGGACCAATGTCTTCTCTTCAGACACAGAGACATTCAGCGGCACCCTCAGCGGTTATTCCCCGTTTCGTGAAGTTCAACTCTATATTGACGGTATCCTCGCTGGGGTCGTTTGGCCTTTCCCCATTATATTCACTGGAGGAGTGACACCGGGTTTCTGGCGTCCAATTGTTGGGATCGATGCGTTTGATCTGCGACAACCGGAGATTGATATCTCTCCTTTTCTCCCTTTAATCACTGATGGCCAAGACCATTCATTCGAAATCAAAGTGGTTGGTCTGGATCTTGGTGCAGACGGATCTGCGACACTTTCAAACACTGTCGGCTCGAGCTGGGTGGTGACGGGAAACATTTTCCTATATCTAGACGGTAATAATGCGTCCTCGTCCTCCAGCAATCGGATGCCTATCGTCGATGCAGCGGCGCCAAAAATGTCCGTGTCACGAAATTTGAATCAGGATGCGGCCAAAAAGAACGAATCACTTTCCTACTCTGTTCTAGTTGAGCGGAAACTCACGATTAGTTTATCAGACGTGTCGTGGAGCCAGAATCTCTCCTATTCGAATCACAATTTACTCAACCAACAAGGGCTGGACCAGGTTACCCATCAAAGTACCTCGGGCGTGAATACTGTCACCCAGAATGGACAATCAAACCATGTCAGTTTCGAGTACCCTTTGACTGTCATAACAACAACTCACAGCGCCGCCAATGAGTCTACAATCGACGCTCAGATGAAGAGAGGTCTTACCATTGAAGCGACGGATGTTACCGGCATTTCCACATATACTATGAATGCAGGATCATCATCCCTACGGAATAGGCAATGGGGGAATGCACACTACATATCGAAGGCTGATGGAAACTCCACATCCTTTGGTGACACCACGGCTACCTTAGAGAGTGAAGCTGGAGGTAAATCATATAGTCGGAATGTTCGGGCAGTCAACGGGAGCATAGCTCATGACATTCCTGGGGTTTCCTCGCAAATATCTCAAACTGTTCTTTGAGCATCAAGTTAAATTCTTACGGGAATTTATAGCTAGCGTTATATGAATACAAGCACAGAAGCATCGAGAGCTATGCTTTATGCAAGCAACAGTTATGTCCGCTTATATAACACACTTATGCTCATAGAACCAGACTTAATATAACCCGATTTGGAATTGTCGCTATCAACACGTGACTGTACGCGATAAGATTTCGGTTTGCCCCAGCTGGATTCCCCGTACATACTACGTACTCGACTCGCTCAGGGACCGAGACGACAACCTGCATGATGGCCGTGGAGCAGGTGAGATTGTCCTTCGATGGTAATCATACGATTGCGCGACACCATGTCCGAGTTACATTGACTTACTGACATTATTATCAGGACCTGTCCCCGATTCTCTGGCCGCCGTTATCGAGCGAACCGATGCGCCTGATACGAAGGATCCTCCAAAAAAACGTCGCAAGTTGACGGACAGGGCACCTCGCAGTCTTTCGGAGCTCAATGGTGTCTCCGAAGCTGGGGTGCCCAATGGGTTCATTCCTTTAGCACGCGTCAATCTGCACCTGGTACGTGATAGGGTTTTGCACTCAGGACTCGCGCGGGGGCGCGTGTGGTTCGATTGCCTTTTGCTAATAGCCCTCTATAGAATTATGCAGAGACAAATCTGGAGATGGATGGCTCCGGCGCCTACATCGACCTGCCTCAACGGTTTCCTGTCCAATTTCATGCTCGGAATATAAATATGCGCAATAAAGGCGGTTTGACTCCGAGGATAGTGGGTCGCGAGGATACCGATCATGACTGCTTTAGACTGGAGTTAAAGTCAGTAACAGATGGGAAGGTTATATTCTCTGAGCGATCAGTGGATCCGGCGTTGCTCGGCATCGAGAAGTTACTGCAACTTACCTCTAAATCTCTCTGCGCCGACTTTTGCCGCCGCCATGACCCTGTGGCGTGCTATCAAGCAATTCTACATTGCTTGCCTGATAGGAAATCTTTCCGTCTAGAGCTAGTCCTCTTGTGTATTGATTCGCTAGAGGTGCGGGGCTTGAGTCAGTTTCGGGATGATCAATTGGAGATCTACTCACGATATGTCATACGCGAGCCGCAGGATGTCTTCAAGGAGGACGCCAGTCACATTTTCAGGCGTTCCTGGCAAGCAAAGGAGTTAAATGAGCAGGCGAAACGGTGGTCGCCACGCGACTTTTACAAGAATGTTCATGTCCCTGAGGACACTCCCAAGACATCTGCAGACATAAAGTGTGGTATGGTCGAGAGCCAGCTCTATCCTTTCCAAAAAAGAGCAGTCAGATGGCTTTTGCAACGGGAGGGGATGGAACTTCATCCGAATGGAAAGGTCGTTCCAGTTCAGAAAGCGTCCGGTAATCATCTTCCGGCGTCTTTCCAAGAATTCACTGATGCAGATGGCCGGCCTTACTTTGCCAGCCGTTTGTTCATGACTGCTACTACCGGTTTTCCGGATTGGTATGATGCCGAAGAGCATCTAAAGGGTGGCATCCTTGCGGAAGAAATGGGTCTAGGAAAGACCGTCGAGATGATTACCTTGATATGCCTGAACCGTCGCAAGCTGGCTGGTGAGCAGCCACCGTCAGATGTTGAGGGCAAGAATCCCAGGCCATCAGGGGCCACTCTGATCATAACGCCGCCTGCGATTCTTGAGCAATGGAAACAAGAAATCCAGCAGCATGCACCAGCGCTCCGTATCTTCGAGTATATCGGCATTCAACGCCACGAGGATCAATCAGACGATGCACTCGCCGAGATGCTTGCCAGCTACGATGTTGTGCTCACAACTTATAATACACTTTCTCGGGAAATCCACTATACCGGTGGTGCGCCAGAGCGGAATCTACGACATCAAAAGAAATTTGAACCAAGAATAACGCCTCTGTTACGGATAGATTGGTGGCGAGTTTGCCTGGATGAAGCCCAGATGGTCGAGCACGGTGTCAGCAACGCTGCCACAGTTGCTCGTTTAATCCCTCGACATAATGCATGGGCTGTGACGGGAACGCCAATCCGCAAGGACATGGGTGATCTCTATGGCCTTCTTTTGTTCCTCCACTATGAACCCTTCTGTGGTCAGACAGCTACATGGAACCGATTGTGCGGGCGATTTCAGTCCGTGCTCACGGACATTGTCAATACCATCACCCTCCGACATAGCAAAGACCACGTCCGCAGTGAGCTCGATTTGCCACCCCAGAAAAGATTCGTCATCACCATTCCCTTCACCGCCGTCGAAGAGCAGCACTATGGTCAGCTGTTCGAGCAGATGTGCGAGGATTGCGGGATCGACCTGTCTGGCGCGCCATTGAACAACTGGGACTCCGAAGACCCAACAACCGTCGACAAAATGCGTGGCTGGCTGACAAGACTCCGCCAGACCTGCCTCCACCCCGAGATAGCGGGGCGGAACCGTCGCGCGCTGGGCACTGGTAACGGGCCGCTCCGCTCTGTATCCGAAGTTTTGGAGGTGATGATTGATCAGAATGATACGGCTATCCGGGCGGAGCAGCGTTCCATGCTTCTGTCTCAAATTCGGCGGGGTCAGTTGTTGGAAAATGCGCGGCGTCGTCAGGAAGCTCTTAATCTGTGGAATGGGGCTCTGGAGTTAGCTAGTGCCATTGTGAAGGATTGTAAGGCGCAGCTGAAATTGGAACTTACAAGATCTCGGTCATTAGAAGGCACCAGCTCGAATGCGAATGAGGGCGAGAGTGAAGAAGACGATCAAATGGAAAAGAACAGTCGTATAGGCACGTACCGTCAAAGGCTGCGTGCTGCGCTGGAAGTCGAGCACATTTGTATTTTTTTCACGGGAAACGCATATTATCAAATCAAGTCAGATTCGAAGCTTACTGCGCCTGGTTCTGAGGATTTCAAGTCTCTGGAGAAGCAGGAAATGTATGCGTACGAAGCCGCAAAGTTGATCAGAAAAGAGATGCTGTCCGAAGTGTCCCAGAAGGTTGACCGATACATGAGGTCTATAAAGGACAAGAAAAAGGACGAGAAATTCGTCCATATCCCCGAGTTTGAACCGCACGTCTTCTCAACCGGTATTGAGTCCCGTCGTGTACTAGAGAAACTTGAGGATTTCTGCGATGCAATGAACGAGCATGCTGAGCAGTACAAAGAATGGCGCGATGTCATGGTCAACTTGTTATCGCAATCGCTCATTGATCAAGAGGAGGATACAGAACTTGAGGGAAACGAGTATGAAACATCAACGAAGCACCAGGACGAAATGTACGTCTACATAGAAGCCCTACGTGCCATGTTCGCCGATCGACACGACGCCCTCACAGGACAAAAGAATATCCTCGTCGCCCATGAAGTCAAAGGAGGCATTATCCAAGCCCAAGGCGGAGAAGGTCCTTCTCCGCAGCTCTTCCTGTCGGCAATGAATAAGCGCAGTCTGCTCAAGCCGGACCCCGAGCTTGGCTCGCTCCGTGGGATTCTCGGGGAGCTTCGCAGTCTTATCACATCGCTGGAGTGGCAGGAGAATGAAGGAAGCGCGCGTGCTGCCGCCGAACTTCAATTGGCGAAAGCCGTGCTTGAAAATGCGAGTAAAATGAATGCCGAGCAAACCAAGGTTAGTTCGGGCTTGGAGAGGGAGGTGGAAATGTTTCGAGACACGATGAATAATCGTCTCGAATACTACCGGCAGCTGCAGCAGATTTCGGATACTGTGGCGCCATATGACGAGGAGAGCGTCGGTAAGCCGATAAACGACACGCTCTTTGCCGAGAAACTCCGGCAAGAGGAAGCTATAGACGAGAAGATCCCTAGCCTGAAGGCAAAACGCCGCTATCTCTTGCACATCAAAGAAGAGCCAGATTCGGACGGCTCTTCGAGTATATGCATCATCTGCCAAACGGGCTTCGAACACGGTGTATTGACTGTATGTGGCCACAAGTACTGCAAGGATTGTTTGCAGTTGTGGTGGAAGCAGCACCGAACTTGCCCGATTTGCAAGAAGCGCCTGAAAGCCAGGGATTTCCATCAAATCACGTACAGACCTGAGGATTTCGTCGTGCGAGAAGAAAAGACCCCGACTAAGATAGGACCGGCGCCGGAGCGGTCTTCGAAGAATTCGTCTATCTATACTGACGTCAGCACCAGTACTCTGAGAGAGATCAAGAACATCGATGTTAACGGCTATTTCGGTACCAAGATTGATACGCTGGCCCGCCACATATTGTGGCTGCGGATGCACGATCCTGGGTCCAAGTCGATTGTATTCTCTCAGTATAGGGTTTTTCTGGATGTGCTTTCTGTTGCCTTATCGCACTACAAAATTGATTACAGTAGTGTCGATAGTAAAGGCGGTATAGAGAATTTCAAAAACGATCAAGCGGTATGTTTTCCTGCTCTCTCGGTGTTCTAACTTGCCCCATGCTAATCTCTCTGCAGATCGAATGCTTTCTTCTACATGCCAAAGCGCACTCATCCGGACTCAACCTGATCAACGCTACTCATGTTTTCCTCTGCGAGCCGCTCATCAACACCGCAATCGAATTGCAGGCCATTGCCCGTGTCCACCGTATCGGTCAACACCGTGCAACCACTGTCTGGATGTACCTCGTCTCAGGAACGGTCGAGGAAGCGATCTACGACCTTTCTGTGTCCCGTCGTCTTTCTCATATCACCGCAAAGAAGAAAGAAGAAGAAGAGACTCACGCATCATCGAAGATGCACCTCAATGGCAATGACAAGGAGGCTATAGACGAAACTACGATAGACTCGGCAAATTCGATGGAAATGCAAAGTACGGCATTGTCCAAGCTCATGGCCGGCGGTGCATCTGGTGGCGAGATCGTCAAGAAAGATGATCTATGGCAGTGTCTCTTCGGGGATCCCAGCAAGAATCAGGGATCCGGTCAACATTCCATGGGTGCTGATAGCGAAGTTGGGAAATTTCTGAGGGCTGAAGCGGCAGAACAAAGAGTCGCTAAAAGTTGAGACGGAGGAACCCGTCGATAGAATGTAAATATAGAGATAATATATGAATATATACCTTTTGCTTCCTATACTATCCTTTTTCCTGGACTGATGTTGATAGATGACTAAGCATCCCAATCGAGACAGTATCGTGTCTTCCCTTTTTGGGGAATGACGCACACCTCCAGCTGCCTGGGGCGGTCTTTCCATCGCTCTTCATGGAATAAATATCTCATCTTTCTTTCTTTCTTTCTTTTTTTTTTTTTTTTTCTTTTCATTTGGGGTGCTCAGTTAATGTGCAGACATTCTCATCTCTCATATTCTCCCTCCACCTCTCGTTATGGCTTCAGACCCCGCGTCGGCGAGTCCCGAGGCTCGTGAGCTCAGTTTGATATCCAAGGTCGAGCTCAGAATCGCCCTGGCAGAGACAGATGCAAAGCTCCAATCTCTTCTCCAAACATATTTGGCTCCGTTACTTCTCAAACTCGGCTCAGAAAGTCTGGCAGTCCGCAACAAAGTGATTACGGTGTGCACACATGTCAACACTCGAGTTCAGACTCCGTCCATTCAACTGCCCGTGACAGCGCTGTTGAAACAATTCAAAGAGCAGAAATCTCAGCTTATTAGGCACTATGACTTAATTTTCCTGCAGCAGGGGCTTGATCGCTTGGGTGCCAATGCGCGGATCGAGATCTTGCTACCGTTGCTCCAAGGGATCTCCGAAATTGGGACATCGGTTAACCAAGGTGCTATCGTGTTCAATCTTGTTTTACGACTTTTGCCTCTGTTGAAGCTGCCCCCGAAGGGTAATGAGGAAGATGTGCAGCTGAAAAGTCGGCTGGGCCTGTCCGATGAGGACACCAAGTTTCTGTCTTTCTGGTTGGAGAAGCTCCTTTTGCTTTCGCCGGCAGATGAGAGCTCCACGACATGCCCCGGTCTTTCCCCTAAAGAGTACATATTCCTGAACAAGGATGCTCCTGTAAAAGAAACCTGGAACCCGTCTGCAAGCGGCGGTCTGAATCTCACGGAGACCAAAGCCAATGCCTTGAAGTTTCTTGCCAGCGGAGCCTTTACGGATTCAGAGCGGTTCTTGCCTGCGCTAGTTGCAACTGCGGATGCAAACTCACGCCTGGCAGACCTTGGAGAGGAGATTTTGAAGCGATTCATTCCGAACTTCGAGGACCTCGATGTTGTGCAGCAACTGTACAGCTTGTATTTTGGGACTGGAGGGGCCGATGGAGCGCCTCCTGCACGGCCTTCCCTGCAGATCAAGCTGCTAGTTTATCTCGGAAAGTCCATTATGGCTACGAAGGATACCGAAAAAGTAATTCGATTAATAGAAGAGGGCCTTCTATCCGATACTGCAAGGTCGTCACGGGGACTACAAGCGTCCAAGTTGAGGATTCAAATCTTCACCTTCACGACATGGGTTGTCCGCATGGGATCGCCGTCAAAGTTGAAAGGGATGGCACCAAAGGTTATTCAAGGCTTGAGAGATTTCATCCAATCTCAGGGCTGGCCTAGTCCCGGGGCTAGCGGGCAGAGATTACCCGCAACGGATATAAGTCTTCGGGGTCTTGCCTACGAGAGTATTGGTATAATGGTACCCAAAGTCGATTTCCAAGCGCAAAACGACGACGAGGAGTTTTCTGGTTTTGGCCTGATCAAGTGGTTGTTCGCCTCATTAAGCTGCGATGATTCGAGCCCTGAGATCTTTGTTAGCATTGAGCAGGCTTTGGGCAGCATTCTTAACTCGTCGCTAGACAGTTGGGACGAGGGATATCAAGAGCAACTACGTCCCTTCCTGGTTGATCAGATGAGAAACGAACCAGGAGAGAATGACCCTCTAACCGGATTCAGTGTCGTTCGAGGACCGCAGTATGCTGCGGTACGTTTTGCCAATCGCTTTCTACCCTATCACGATGTTGTGGCTCGCTGGGTCGATATCATTGCCATTGCGCGGGGGTCGGAAAAGCGCCACGAGGTTGTGGAAGAAGGCAAAAAGGGCCTCCATCCTTACTGGCATCGCCTCCTCAATCCCGGAAATAAAAACAAAGGGCTTGATACCTCGTCACAAGAGCAAACGTACGGCCCATGGTACGACTTTCCCAGTTTCTCGTCCGTAACGCGCTTTTTATTCCGCCCCTCGGATCATGCAAACATAAAAACTCTGTCCGCGTCGGACATCCTGTCAGGGGGGTACAGAAAAGCATTTGCGCCTACTATCACGTTCCTTCGCAACATCCTTCTCTGGGAGTCATTCTCGAAGTTTGGAATTGCAACCGACATAGAGCAAGACTGGGACACTAAACTGGACGTACTACTTACGTCTGACGAACGAGCTCGTGCAGCTTTGAAGAAGTATATCGCGGGTTCTGATAAAGAATCAGTGCTCCTATTCCTTCAGAACGCCTTGAATGGGCTCCTCCATGAGAGCCGGGAAGGGCTGGAGCTATGTGGTGAGCATTTTGTGGAAATCTGTTCTGCGGCATCAAATGACATAGTCGATGCCATGGTCCCACGCGTTTTGTCCTTGAAATTGCCTATATCTAGCAACGACCAAGAGAAACAGAATACGGCCGCACGTGCTATCGGTATACTTGCATCTCATCCAGCGTTTTCTGAAAAGGATTTGACTGAATTTATTACGGAGCTGTCGAACGCTTTCATGGCATGGAAGTCGGCGATTGGGGAGCTGGTACTTGTCGTCCGGGGATCAATTCTGGCACTGTCATATCTGCTTAGCAGGCTTGCGTTCCGTGGAAAGCTCGACAAGATTCCGCAGGTACAAGTGAAGCCATTTATCCAAACCCTCTTCGATATTATCGAGTCCACGAACGATACTCTTTTGCGACGGGCTGCTCAAATGGCCATCGGGCAACTCAGTCTTTCCGGAATCCTTTCACCGACTTTGCTCTCTAGTGATGGCTGGACGAAGGTCAAAGAAAGTCTCTCACGGGACGCAAAAGCCGAGAGCGAGATCCCCATACTGGCAATGGGCCGTCTATCGTTGGCCTTTTCTAATGAATACATCGTTGATCTGCAGTTTAGCTCGCTATTGGATGCTCTTTACGGCTTGCATGAGATTCGCAGCCCGGAGATTCACTTTTCTGTCGGTGAGGCATTGAGTGACGCTGCCATTGGATGGAAATCCAAAGCACTAATCCGAGAATTTGATGTCGATGAACAATTCCCCCAATCTTTTATCCCTAATACCGTGCTTGCAGAAATGTGCGACAAGATCATTGCCGACTGTGGTGCTTCGAAGCCAGCCCTCCGTAAAGCGTCTGCCATATGGCTGTTGTGTCTGGTCAAGAATTGCGGTCATATGCAAGAGATGCAGGACCGATTGCGCAAATGCCAAGCTAGCTTCACAAGCCTTCTCGGGGACCGTGACGAGATAGTGCAGGAATCGGGTGCTCAAGGGTTGGGTTTGGTTTACGAAATGGGAGACCAGGAACTCAAGGATGATCTGGTGCGAGACTTGGTCAACTCCTTCACGGCTACCAATTCCAATCTTAGAGGGGGCAAAGTTCACGAAAACACAGAGCTTTTCGAGCCCGGGGCTCTACCCACTGGACAAGGACAGTCAGTCAATACGTACAAGGATATCATGAATCTCGCATCTGAGGCAGGCGACCCAACGCTTGTATACCGATTCATGTCGTTGGCTTCGAACAACGCGATCTGGACCAACAGGGCAGCTTTCAGCAAGTTGGGTATTAGCAACATTTTCACGGATTCGAGCGTCAATGGCTACCTGGCAAAGAACCCCAAGATCTATCCGAAGCTGTTCCGTTACCGGTTTGATCCCAACCCCAACGTGCAGCGGTCAATGAACACGATCTGGCACACGCTTGTCAAGGAGCCCTCAGCTGTTATCAACGCTCATTTCGATGAGATCATGGATGATCTCTTGAAGAGTATGATGACTGGCCGGGAATGGCGCGTTCGGCAAGCAAGTTGTACTGCCATTTCGGACATGATCCAAGGGCGTCAACCGGAACAGTACTCGAAGTATATGGATGAGATTTTCAACAAGGCGTTCAAGCTTCTGGATGATATCAAGGAGTCGGTTCGAGCATCTGCCCTCAAACTTTGCCAGACCATCACCAATGCAGTCATCCGCACCTTGGAGACGAGCGACGCCGACACGAAACGCGCGATTACAATGCTGGGAAAGGCGATCCCGTTTTTGCTCAGCGACAAGGGAATGGAGTCTGGTGTTCAAGAAGTCCAAGGTTTTGCCATTGGGTCCCTTATACAGATGATCAAGAAGAGTCCTGCTAAGTCGCTACGGCCCTTTGTTCCTCCCATTCTAGAACAGTTTCTGAATTCACTCAGTTCTTTGGAGCCACAAGCGGTCAATTACGTTCATCTGAATGCAGATAAATACGGGCTGACGAGCGAGGAAATCGACAAAATGCGATTGTCCAGTATCCGCACGTCTCCTATGATGGAAGTGATTGAACGATATCTGATTGACACGCTCGACGAGACCTCGGTGAAGGAGTTTGCAGCCAAGCTTGAAGCGGTGCTTCGCGCTGCCGTCGGACTTCCAACCAAGGTGGGCTGTAGCCGAGTTCTGGTCCTGCTGAGTATGAAGACTATGCTCTTCCGTCCTTATGCGGATCGGTTCATCCAACTGCTGTCGAAATACGTGGTTGATCGGAATGATACCGTCAGTGCGTCGTACTGTTCATCAATAGGCTACCTCATGCGGCTGGCGTCAGACGACCGGGTCCTAAAGACGATTGAGTATGCTAAGACTCTCTACCTGACGGCTGAGGATGCGACTCAACGAGTGATCTCGGGGGAGATTCTGCATTCTACGTCGAAACTCTCCAATGATCGTTTCATGGCATTCGCTGCCTCCGCTTTACCTTTCATCTTCGTTTTCAAGCATGACACGGATGAGCATGTTCGTGAGGTTTTCGAGAAGACGTGGCAGGACAACGTCGGTGGTACCCGGACTGTATCGCTCTATGTCAACGAAATCACCGCGCTTGTCTCGGACAACCTCGAGTCGCCGCGATGGGCCATCAAGCACACAGCAGCCCTTGGCATTGCTAGCACCATCACAT